GGGTGACATGGGGCAGGGGGTGCCATGGGGCAGGGGGTGCCATGGGGCACGGGGTGCCATGGGGCAGGGGATGATGAGGGGGCCCAAGCACCCACACGCCACGCATGTCCAGGGTGCCACCTGCGCAGCTCCAACGAACTCGGTCCCCCGCGAGCGGCCATGCCTTTGACTTGCATCTTGCAGCCGCTCACACCACCTGTATGCTGCCTCTTCTGGCCCAGGCCCTGCTTTCGGCGCCAGAGGGCGCCCAGGCTGCGGCCACGTTCCTGCAAAGCCAGACATCCTTGGATTGGCTGATGGCATCAGGTGGCCGCCCCGTTTGCACGCCTCGGCCGTTTGCCCGTGCTTGCCACTCCCATGCGCGCCCTGCCCAATGCACAACCCCGTCACCAGGCATCCTTGCACGCCACCAACCACGACCCGCGCGTCGTCTCATTTTCAATTTCCAGGGTCGAATGGGGCCCCTGCTGCGCGGTGGTGGAGGCAGCGGGTGTTGGCTGACGAGGACCTGATAGAGGGCTTTGCGCGCCAGGGCGACCCGGCCAAGAAGCTCATGGCGACCGGCGCCGGCGCAGACTACGTCGCGGCGCTCGTGAGGGCGGGCCGCCAGGCGCCGGCGCTTTTCGGCGCGTCGACGGCGTACGATAGGTGCGAGCGGCGCCGCCTTTCAGATCCGCACAGATGCCGGGCGCGGGATGGGGGGAGGAGACTGCTGATTGCGCTTCAGTGCCTCTGCGGCCAGCCGAGCAATCAGCCAGGGCCCTGGCAGCTGTGCGAATCAATGGGTGGCTTGCGATATTGCTTGCGCAAAGTGTCTCGGCAGGCCCTTCGCTCCGAACCCGACGCAGCCACGCACCTGCCTAGACTCTCAAGCCCTGACGCCACCCCCGCTCTGCCCACCGCACTTTGCGCCTCGCGCCGTGCACCTGCAGCGAGCTCCTCAGCTGGGCGGTCGGGGATGTGGAGGAGGGGAGCAAGGAAAGCTTCAAGAATGTCGGAACCCTGGTCAAGGCTATTGCAGGGTCTGAGCTGTCAGGACTCACCTGCTTTTGGGACGTCAGGCGCGCGCTCAGCAGCGCGCGGCTGGCCCGCCGCCCGCCGGCGGCGCAGGCAACGATGCGGCGCGTGCTGGCTGCGGCGGCGGCGGAGGCCGGCGTTCCGCATCTCACGCGACTCGCTGCGGTGTGCCTGCTCGGCCGCCTACAGGTGGGCGCCGCTCCTTGCGTGGCTTGCGTGTGGGCTTCGCGCCTGCAAGGCGCGCACACGGCGCTCACCTGCGGCGAACCCGTGCTCCGCAAAGCGGTGGCCGCCGCCCGCCTCTGCAGCGCCTGTGTCCAGAGCAGGATGGTGCCCTGATCCTGCTGGTCTTGGTGGCAGCACCCGCCCCTCTCATCCCATCCGCGCTCGCAGGACACGACTGCCTCAGATCTGGAGTCTCTGATGGGTCAGCCAGATCTCGTGGCTGCCTGCCTGCTGTCAGCGCCGAGCCTGGAAGACACAGAGGCGGTCGTGGAGCTCCTGCAACCCAGGGTGCGGCAGCTGACGACGCGCGGCGTGGCGCGGCGTGGCTATTGCGCGATGCAGACAGTTGCTGCACTCACGGGACCCCACCCCCATCTGATCAGGGCTGAGGGGCACTGATGCTTAGCTGGCATCAGTACGAATCATGCGTGCCGCAATTTTGCGTTGTTTTAGCCACAGGTCCTGTGGACTGCATGACGCAGCCAGCGACGGCCAGCCTTGGGCCGCAGGCTAGGGTTCCTGCCAGCAGAGGGAATTGCGGAATCTGCCAGATGCCCTCTGCAGAGATTTGGTGCATCCGCGGGCCGCCGCACATCATCCCCATTACCTGCGCTTTGGTCAGACCAAACAAACGCCCGCCCCACGTTGCAGCTCACGGCCGACGCGGCGACCCACGCGGCCTCGGCCCTGCGGCGCGTGGCTGGGCACCTGCCAGACGCGCGGCTGCTTGAGCTTGCCTCTGACCTGCTGGCCACGGTGGGCCTCAAGACCGCCGCGTGGCAGGTCGTGGTGGTGATGCTCGTGGAACGCGGCACGGATGAGGTGGGTGCGGGCTTTTCTTCCTGGGTGTGCGCACAAGATGGCAGCTTTTGGTGGCGCTGCTGTCAGAGCGCTGCTCGTGGAACGCGGCATGCAGTAGGCGCGCGGGGCGGGTCCCCTCGGCGTGCGCGCGCAGTGTGGCGCGTCGCCCGGTGGCGACCCGATGCGCAGCAAGCTGAGGAACGTGCAGGCGCACAGCCCAATGTCTCACGTAGTAATGCTCCGACATGCGGCACGCGCCGACGTTCAAAGCGCCGGGTCCAGACGCACGCGCCAACGCTCGTCTCCGCCGCCGTCCGTCGCTTGCAATCTCGCACACCCGAGCCCAGGCCCTGGAGCTCGTGTATTCTGAGATGCGGCGCCCCGACCTCAGTGCCAGCATGCGCGTCGGCGTGCTCAAGGCCACGAGCCAGGCCGGGCTGTGCCGTGTTCCCGAGGTGGCCGCGTTCTGGGAGGGCTGCGCCACCAGCAAGGACAAGCAGGTGCGGCGCACGCGCTGTCCGAGGTTGGGCCTCCATTGGCCTTGCCTTCCTGCCGTTGAGGATCTGAGACCAGAGTGCATGGCTCCCAGGCAACATCCTGGGAGGAAAAAGGGGGGGGCTGAGAACTGCGGAAAGAGGGGCCAAAGGAAGGTAAGAGAGAGAGCGAGAAAGTCGGAGAGCCGGGGGGCGGTGGAGAGAGAGAGAACGAGCATAGAGGGGGTAGAAAAGGATTCTTTGGGACCTCACTCTGATAACTGCCACCTTTTCCTCACAGGTGGCCACCGCCGTGATCGAGCTGGCGCCTGCTCCAGAGCTGGCGGGGTCCCAGGCGCTGGCCGCCTGGTGGGCCGGCATCGTGCTGCGCGGCCTTGAGGGGTGAGCGCGCCAGGGGGCAGCGCACGCGTGATTACATTATTGTTCGTGACTGTGCAATGCGGTCGAATGGGCAGGTCAGAAGCTTACATGCTGGCGGCCGTAAAATAGTTTTGATGATGATCGCACACTCCCATGCAGCAAGGAATGCATGCAAGCGCGCGCACACACACACACACACACACACACACACACACACACACACACGCACACGCACACGCACACACACACACACACACAC